GGGCCCGTAGGGACGGGAACATCTGGCTTTTACTGTAGTTTATATTTTTTATATTTTGTTGTTTTTTTGTTTTTTGACATTGTTTTTAAAATATGGTATTCTTTGTCATTTCTTCATTAGCATTTGTTCCTGTAACTTGTTGCGCTTTATTTCTAACAGCTGCTATTCTTTAAACAACTATTTGCTGACCTGAGTAGAATGGGTTAATTAACTGCATGCCAATAAATTGAAGTTTTCATGAATAGTAGACTGTAGAGTACCCTTTATTTTGGGTTCTGGAACTTGCTTATGACCATTTAAAAAGTGGTTGTTATGTGTCTTGGCATTTTCATCTGATAAAACTGGGTTTTGTGCTAACTGCTGGTCAGTGTGCAACCTTTACAAGTTAGATTCTAATCGTTATCAAACAACTCTATATGAAAATATATATATATATTGCACTAGCCACAAATTAAATTTTAGATCAATTTCATTATCAACTATGCTAAGTAGCTAATAGATGGATTTATTAAGAATTCCACAATTAACAAAAACAAACAAACAAACAAAAAAAACACAATGAAAGAAATCTGATGTGAGGTCCTAACAACACTCCTTACATGCTAAATATGTGCAAGAAAACATGTGATGGAGTGTACTGAAATAAAATAAGTATCTTTTAAAACAGTGAAATACAAAAAAAAAAAAAAAAAATAACAGCAAAAGTTTCTTTTTTCTTTGCAGCATTGTACTTTTTTTTCATCCCTTTATTTTTGCAACATATTTTGGATTCTGATCCAGAAGGCTAAAGCTTTACCCTTAAAGGGACGACATCAAAACATTATATTTTATGTCTTAAATCCACACTAGTCATAAAAACATTGTAGCAGCTCATGATAATTCTATTTTGATTAGAAGGCTCTCTAACAATTTAATGCTTGCATCAGATTATTTTTCATAAAGAACAAGATTATAATTTACTCAGGAAATGTGTTTATGGCAGAGCTTCAGTGGTGGTCATCCTGTGCATATAGAAAACATACAGAGAACAGATCATGTTAATATGTTCTACTCAGAGGAAGGGATTGATATTGATGAAAACCTTACAAAAAACTAAAGCTATCATGGTGGACTAGTTGAAAGCTATTTATTATTATATTTTTTTTTACATTATTGTACTTTCTATATCAGACAGATAAAAAGATATTTAAATAAATGATCTTGTATGACCTTGGTGAAATTAAAGTTATGGGAGTAAAATTAAATACTGATCTAAGGCCAATCTTTGACAGCCATTATATCGGGCCTCCAGGACACCCTATTTTAGATCCCTTCTAAATATGGATATCAATAATACTTTCTATTAGATATTTCCTGTTTATATTACCCTCTAAAATAACAAGCTAACACTTCAGTATATTCCGTTTCATAGTGTTTGCAAAACAGGAAGGCTGCACTTTAAAGTTCTTTCAGTTCCTTGGGAGCAGCCATAGACCTTTATATAAACTACAGTATAATGCAAAAGTGGTGGCCTTTTGTGAATTTATTTTTGTTTTCTAATTGGAAGAAATGTGCATTACCTTACCCAGACTCCCTGATAGCCCTTTGATTGATATCTATCTCGATAAAGGGGAGGTGTTCAGCTAGTTATCTAATGCTAATAATATATTTAACAGAAACCCCATAAAAACTACCAGAAAACGAAACCATCTATTTTTATTCACCACATCTCTGACTATACCTAATTGGAAAACTGAATTATTCTCTCCCAGGTACCTAGCTAACATGACTTTAGAACAGAAGATGGGTTACATTCCAAGGCATTATTTCTCTGTATGTACAATTACTTTTGCTTTATTGATAACTACAATACCATAGTGGTCAGATTTTCTACATTCACATGTATATATTATTGCTTCGACTTTCAGATGTAATCAAGCCACAACATACATACATACATACATACATACATACATACATACATACATACATACATACATACATACATACATACATACATACATACATACATACATACATACATCCATCCATCCATCCATCCATCCATCCATCCATCCATCCATCCATCCATCCATCCATCCATCCATCCATCCATCCATCCATCCATCCATCCATCCATCCATCCATCCCGCTTATCCATGCTTGGGTCCGAGGAGTGCTGGTGCCTATCTCCTGCTGTCAATGGCACATTTCAATTTTAGAAAGAGAGAGAGGTGGATGTGCTAAAAATGATTAGGTCTTCTTATAAGAAGGTTTGCATCATAATAAAAAAAAAAAAAAACTGTATTAACAAAAACCTAAGCTTGTTATGCAAACCAAAATAAAAACTTTCAGCTGTTTCTCTGAAGAAGCAATGTCATTTTATTCAGTGTTTTCATGTAGGTTTGTGCCAGAGTCATTGCAAGACTCCACAGCAGGTTGTACAACTAGAAATTGCCTCTTTCAGTTGTATTGCCCCTGCTGCTTCCTACATGCTGCTTCTTGCAGACCTGTAAATTGTCTTTACTGTGCAATGGATACATAGAGTAACTGATGAAAGCCCAATGTGAAGCCTGACACCCAGTGTTATACAGATAATTGGAAGATTACATAAGTATCTTTTATTTAATGACTTAATATTTTTATTTTTTTTCACTTATTCAATATTATGCTTTATCAATCCATCCATCTTCTTACACGCTTAATCCCAAGTGTGGTCACAAGGGGTGCTGGTGCCTATGTCCAGCTGTCCACGGACACGAGGCGGGGTACACCCTGGACAGGTCACCAGTCCATCGCAGGGCAACACAGAGACAAACCGGAAAAACAACGATTCACGCCCACACTAGCATTCAAGTGGAATTTAGAGAGGCCGATTAACCTAAAAGTCATGTTTTTGGACTGTGGGAGGAAGCCTTAGTACCCAGAGAGAACCCACGCATGCTCAGGGAGAACATGTGTTATGCTTTATTCATATGATATTCATGAGAAAATGTACCCTGTATTCGGATTTCAAAGTTAGATATAATAAATGTAGTTCCTGACACTTGTGTTGGCAAGTTTTATTTGAAGGTCAAGTATTATTAAGTATGTGCGTTTCTCAGTGTACTTACCACACACTAATCCCAAACTTATCATAGTTTTTTTTTTTTTTTTTTGCAAAACTCTACATTTAACTTAAAATAATATTTTTGGTGTTTTGAACCGGGGAAAAATACATTCATTCAAAAGTATGTTTATTAAAGTCTGCACTTGAACATTTATTGGTTAAAGTGATAGACTTTAGCATTTCTGTTCAGGCTAAATCCTTTATTTAATAATAGGACAGGCAAATCAGGGTGAACATGGGATTAATTCTCATCTCTGCTGATTTTGCCTTTATCAACTTTCATGCTTTTCATTTGTTCAAAAAAGTTGAGTGCTGCTTTAGTAGTGAATAACAGCACAATAAATTAATCATTTCTATTTTCCTTTGTCTGCAAAAGTAAAAAAAACAGAAAAAAGTTTTTTTTTTTCCTTTTCTCTGTATATCAGCTGCTACTGAAGGCCTCCCATACCTTGTCTGCACATGCCACATGTGTCAGAAGGATTACCACAACCATACTGGCTAACTTGTTATATCTCATTTGAGGGATATAATGCCATCACCCAGCAGTGAGTGACCAAGCTGATGATCAGCATTGTCATGGTTTTTGTTTTATTCTAGTTTCATCTCTGAGTTTTCATTGGTCCTATTTTTTATTCTTGTGTTCTAGGTACTTTTGATTGTATTTGAGTTCTTAGATATTTCTTTTTTGCCCTCTTGTATCTGTCTCCTTTTCCCTAGCTCCCTTCTTCCCTCTGTTCACACCTGCTCCCAATCTGCTAGTTAGCCTGGTCTTTGTTTCTCTCTCCCATTTATTCTCCTCCTGCTCAGTCACTCTTTGCTGATTTGTCACCATTAATTTGTCCCCTTCTTGTTGTGAGTATTCCTGGTTTTCAGCATTTTTGGATTTTTGAGGATTTATGATTTTTACTTCTGTGGAAATTTTGTTATTAAACCTTCAAGTAACCACCTTCAGCTTTTGTGTCTGCATTTGGGTTCTGTCAAACCTCCAGTTGTTGAAGTGATATTATGCAATGAGTCTTCAAACTTCAATCCCTCAGTTTGATAATCACCACAAAGGAAGGACGTGGTAAGTTTTGTTCTCATATGGAGCACAAGTTAAAGGGGAATAAGCAAGTTTTTTGTGTGTTTTTATATCAAAGAAAAATTTAAAGTTCTCACTCCTCTTGAATATTATCAGAATTATTCTGCTAGGAACAATTATCTCATATATGTTAGATTATTTCATTAAGACAAAACGTATAATGTTAAAAAACAACTACCAGAAGTATAAATATATCTATATCTATATATATATATATATATATATATATATATATATATATATATTAAAAATCGGAAGACTTCTATTTAATTCTGGAGAGTTGGCAAGTATCAGTTTACAGGATTTTAGTGTGTATGCGACACAATGTATTACAATGTATATAATTATTAAGTGCAATGTTTAAAATAAAAGTATGACAAAAAAAATGGTGTTTTAGATCTGTTTTTGACACAAGGAGCTTTCATCTCCTCTACCAGCTAAAGGATGGACACAGTTTTCCTTCAAGACGATATCAAGGGACTATTTCCACTAGTTGACCTCACTGAAGAGTACTTTCTTCAGACCCATAACTTGTCCAGACGTTCAAGCTGGTATCAACACTGTCATCAGGACTGTACAGATCTTTAACCTTATACAAAACAATCACTTTTTCCTACAGTAAACATACCTGTACAAAAAGCCTGCAACAACATAACTGAGACAAACAATTTTATTTAAAATCATTTAAAAAAAATTTTTATTGGAGGGACACCTTGCACGAAATCCAAAGATACACCCCAAATAACTATACACAATATCCACAACACTTTTCCAAAGGGTAATCACAAAGTTATAAAATCAATTAAATAATTTTAGTTAGCAATTTTGTTCTTTTTTTTTTTCTTCCATCCCCACACTAAACACAATTTGACAACAGGCAAAAATTAACTATAGTTATTTAGAGATGACCAGTTTAAGAGAAGTGTTAATTCTATAGGGTCAAACAATAGTCAAAAAGTCCTAATGAAAGCTGACAAAATTAATAAATGACAAATCTCAGTAAATACCTAATTTAACAAGGGAGGAAACTTTGAATACAGTGAGAATTTTTATTTAAGATTTAAAATTAGCCTATAGAAACAGCTTTTTTAATTAAGTCTGGTTATCTCTTATCTCTATCTAATTTTATCATGCTAGATGTTGTAAAATCTTTAATTGGACCGTTTAACAAAAGGGTAGGAATCTGTAAGGGAGGAAGTACTTTTTCACAGCATTTGGCTGTGATTGTTTTGTACATGGTAGGCATTGATAAAAAAAAAGCTACACCAAGAATAGGAAGACATCTAAAATGTGATGATTCAGTTAAGTCAAAGTGTTCTGCATTCTTTTTAATTTACTGAACATTGGGGCATTGCTGCCATCAAGTGGAGAGTCATGTTATATAGTTTTAACAAAGTGCTAATACTATTTCAGCTAGTCATTAACATAACCTTCTCTTTCTTTAGTTTTTTATTATGAGCATCTATTCCCCATACGGTATATATATTCCCCTTAATTTTTAACACCACCAAAGAAAACATACTATAACAAAACAAAAAATAGACCCCAAAACATAAATCACTAACAATTAATAACTGCATATCTCAAACTCTGGCTCATTTTCATCGCAGTTGAATTCCAGTTACAACATTTCCTCTCACATGATAAAGATCCTCAACAAGATCACCGCCATAATGCAGATTGGCGGAAGGTGACCTTTGTTGCTCGATGACACAACCAGTTGGCTGGAGACGTACGTGTTCATAGAAGGAATCCACAGCGAGCAGTTGTAAGGTTGGCTGTAGTTCCCTTTTTCCATTGAAAGTTCACTTTGGATTTTGTAAAACCCATTATCTTCCTGCTTTGTTTCCATTTTGGAGCCTTCTGTTAGGTTTGAGTCTCCCTGGTACCAGTGGACTACACCACTGGGATAAAATTGGTCAAAGGAGCATGTGGCAGTGTTGTTATCGATGGACAGAGTAGAATTTCCATGACATTCTGTTTAAAAACAAAAACAAAAAATCAGAAAAATAAGTGACATAATTATAAGTTATTGAAAGTATGGCTCCAGGGTTTACTTTGCCTCTTGCTTAGAGGCCCACTGCAACCCTGACGGAATAAGCAGGAGAAGATGGATGGCTGGTAAGTATGGCTTAAACTGACTCACCTTTAACTTTAATGTGGCTCTGATCAGAGTATGCTCCTTGCGTTGTGCGTATTTTACAGAGGTAAACTCCCTCATTCTTAGGGACTATGTTGAAGATGGTCAGAGTGAGATTCTGACCAGATGTCGTTTTTGTGTTTTCACACTGGATGCTGCTGTTGGAGTAATTCTGGTTGATTTTACACAGCGCTGTAGTTTCGAATTCCCATTGAAAGGTTTTAATTATTGCATCTCTTATCATTGATTGGGTGACATGGCAAATCAAGGTATGGGTATCCCCACAGTTTGCAGAAATCTCCGGTGTGTTAATCAGCTTTTCACACCAAGTTACTGATAAAAAGATCAAGAAAAAAATCAAGGTTACAAGGCATTAATAAAAAAGGTGTTAAGGCCTAGTTTAACATTTAAGCAAAACAGTACAAATGTGTTTTAAGGGCTTCTGGAAATTGATAGATATAAATTCTACAAAATGGTCTTTGGTTGAAAAGCACAAAATCTTATCTTATTCTATTCTTTATCAGGTTTACCTTTGGACCGTTTATTTTCCCAGTTCTGTGGACATGTGCAGAAGCGAAGACAGCTTCAACATTTTTTACATTTTAAGAAATGCAGTATCCCTAACCCTGGCAAAAGCTGTTTTTCTCTAACCAGGTGTAATTCACAGCACTAACCTGCAGCTTATTCAGTTAAACACTTAAACTTTCTTACTCACCTTAAAGAAAAGCCCAACTCACAAATCTACAGGCACATCTGCCCTAAAACAAAGCTAAAAGCTGCAGACATAAAGAGGGTTGGTTGATGTTTGAGTGGGTGTGTAAATAGGTTTGACATTACCCACATAAACGGACTCAAATTATGTAAATACTTGACATGAATATACTGCAGATCTGATCTTGTAATCTTGGATTTTGTGCCTTTTAAATGAACATCACATGACAATTGATCTCGAAAAAGAATCTGGGTTTAGGTCTCTTGACATATTTGTGTCTAGACCCCTATATGTTTTCAATATTTTATTTTTAGACATTAGGATCAAACTATCAGTGTTTTTTTCAGTCACATTTAAAAACAAATACTCACCAGAAATGCTGATAGCTAATGTGACCCAGAAAACCCAGGCACAACTTAGGCAAAGCCATGGGTGGTTGTAGGATCTGGTTGCCTTGATTGATTGTTAAATTCAACATTTGTAACGTTAGAATACACATACAATAAAAATGTTACTGGAGATGAGGCAGAACAAGGATTTTTGTACCTACCATAGTGATATCCAAGAATCAGTTTTGTTGTTTCTGTTTAAATAGGTCTTATTCCATGTAGAGGATCTTAAAAGCTGTAAAACTGATGAAGATCCTGCATCAACTGCTTTGTGTCTTTGAAATAAAGCTCCAGTCTGAGGAGTGTACTATCAGGTTTCAGATTGAACGTGAGCAGACCTGCCCTGGAATGGATGAATGCAGACATGATAGTGAATGTTTCTTTCCCTCTTCGCCGCTTGAAAGACGTATTTCTCCTGCTAAGACATGAACATCTTTTAACTAGTAAAAACTATTGTTTTTCCCATTTAGTCACAATTAATCACTGACATACTTTATGTATTTCTACCAGTCAAGATTTTTTGGTGCTTTAGTGAGATATGTGCTTACCATAAAATGAGATATGTGGTACTTGGTAAATTGCATTATGCCACCTTTCTAAAAGAAGCTGCTACTGAATAATCAAGCTTTTTTATTGTGATAAATCCTTGTAAAAGAACCCTTCCTTCTTTTTTCTTATATATCTACAGGTCAAAATCTCTAATTTCTATGCATTATGTTAGGATTTTTAACACATGACAAACAGTGGAGTGCATTCTTAACCCTTTATCTGCCACATCTACATAAACATATTGCAATTAAATTTGTTAAGTAATCTCCATATGATTTAACAGAGCCTAATTGTGTGTAGTTCTGTCTCTGTATACATACAGCTGCTCAATGAGGCCACAGAGGTTTTTAAGGATTGTTAATAAACATTAATCAGCAAACAGCATCATAAAGACCAAGAAACACACCTAACAGCAGATTAAAATGGTTTGTGGGTAACTTAACAGTGGTAGAAAGGTTTTATTTTGATTAATAGAGTATAGCACACATGAACACTTGTAACGACATGGCTATCCAAATGAAGTGACAGCCTGTGCAAGGATGTATCTGAAAACTGAAATCTCCAAGACCATCCAAACTTTTAGCTCTCTTTGCTGGAGCGTTAGAACTTTCCCACGGCTGGTGATCTAATATCCTCTTGTCTCTTTGCTGGTCTGTGAGTCCTGTCTGATCCTGCACCAGCTTGCTCTGCTTCTGGATCCTTCGCAAGGGCAAAGTGGTCTCCAAAATTTGTTTCAGCCTCAGACAGAAGTTAGGATAAACTCCAGTAAGTCGTCCCTCCTCTAAACCTTCCCAGCATCAAAACAACATCTCACCCCTTCCCTGCTACCATTTCAGTGATCCGGTCTTTTTATCCTATCTCCTATTTTCCTTCCAGTTTCTCCCAGTCTTCCCTTTAACTTGTGGTTGTTCAATAACATTTTTTAGGATTAACTTGCCTCCTGAGAGTCTGCACATGTGGGTCACTCAAATCCTTACCTAAAACTATGACATCCAGAAAGTAAAAAGCCAGCACAGAGATTAGTTCCAGGCATTTGTATTTCCAGCTCCACAAAACCGATTGGTGGCCCATTACCTGGTTAACTGGACAGTATGAAGTAAAAAGGGTTTTTACCTTATGCTTCTGGATTTTATTTTCATAAAATATTGCTTCTCCTACTGCAGAAAAATGTTTAGCTACTTTGTGCATCATGAGTAAATTCACTGAATTACAAGCTTGTTTTAAATTAAAGAAGTTTAGACAAAAGCACACTGTTAATTTTCATCTCAAAATTACTTCTCCTTTTTGACCATAATTCATATTTGGAGAACCTACCATTACAACTGGATGTCAAGCTAAACTACAATATGAATGAATTATCCACTGGAGGTTTCATTACCTACTCAGAGTACTGGTTTCACTTGTTTTAAGTAAAAAAGATAAATGATATGGAAAAGTTGGAAATCATTTTTTATTTCAGTGACATTATTTGTTTGTTTTAAATATTTTTATTAGTTTTTAATGTACCAGTATATGCAGACAACTTTACACTTTAAATACTAAACCAGATGTTATGAGTCAGTCAGTACTTGGCAGCCATTTTACTTAATATTTTAGATGTCTACTTTTTTTAAATTGCAATACATTAATGCTGCATTTATTTAGTATAATGTTTCGGTGCTCTCCCCAACTCTGGTGAGTTCACAAGAAGAAATCTGAGATAAATTTGTATCAAATAGATTTTTTTCCATAATCCTGTGGAATAGTAATTTGATGTACATTGTTTAATTTACCTTAATAAAGAGTAACTTTCAAACTATATTGTTTTATATTAGATCTCTTAAAACCATACTGCCTGCCAGAAAAAAAACAATAATTTATTGAAGTGTAACTGTACCAGATTATTAAGGATTAATAATATTTTTCATTAGTAGTTTCACTCCCATTTACTTCGCTACCATTTATCAACTTGTCTTTGCAGATCATGATGTAATGTGGAAATATTCTTTTGGCTTTTATAAGCTGCCACAACCTGACTAGGCTTGTCCCTACAATGCCAGAAGAAAAGCTCTGTAGACTTTAAGTAAATCAAAACCACAATGCATATCCCCATGCAAACATCATGTCTGTTGTCCTTTCTGCTGTCTGCAAACCTGTTTACATTTTTATGCTTTGCACTATTTCTTATCAAATCATGATAGTGGACTACTGCTTAGACTATGTTATTATTCAATGTTACAATGAATTGCAAAAAGTTTTCACATCTCTTTAAATTGTTTCCAGTTCTTCGCAATACAACCAAAATTTCAATGCTTTGGAGCTGTGTAACACCCCTGAAAAATTAGCATATAATCGTGGAGAGAACAAACAGTAAATGGTTCTCAGACTTTTTAGAAAGACAAATAAATTTAAAAAAATGTATCGATGTTAGTGGTTGCGACATCATTATTACATCATGAACAGTTTTTATAGGGTACAAAAAATGTAGCAATGCTTGCCACAGTGCAACGAAGGACAAGTCTGAACACAAGAGATAAAACAAAAAGCAATGTTTTTTTATTTCTATAATCCATCCATAAGCAGGAAAGAGGCCTCAGGTAGACTAGATGAAGCTAAAAAACTGCAAAAAAAATTATATGAACAGCCATAGAAAGTGTACTCCAAAGTTGGTCTTTCGTAATCTTAAAAACATGTCAGACTTCAAGAAAAAAGATTCTTTATCATTAGTCATTATCATAATCATTAGCAGACTCCTGTAAAAAGTGGAAGAACACCAAGACGTTATTTGATGGGAAATGAAGGCTTAATGCACTGAATGGTCTTCTTCTGCCCTAAACAACTGCTTGTTCCCATGAATTAAAAAAAAAAAAATTCAAACATGTACATAAACAACTGTTATCTTGCATATAATAACAGTATCCCTGTTTAATATGGTAGTTCTGCCAAATTTTCAAAGATTCTGCATCAAGGAAATGAACATTTTGAAGCAGGCAAAATGTGAAGTAACCATATCCAAGAACTGACATAGACAGTTCCCTTATCTCTGATAGATGTGCAGAGTACCAGATAAAGAAGTAGTAGCAGGGCAGAAATACAACATCAGGTAGGACAAACCAAAATCAGCTAATTCTTGATGGACTGACATGAATGACAAAAACAGATCACTGCAGACCTTATTATACTCTCAAAGCCTCCTTAGCAACCATTGCCATCCAAGTTCCTCCTTCTTAAGCTCCATCTACATGGCCCTATTCTTCCAGTCATCCAAGCTGCAACCCTCCTCCACCCCCTCGGCCTGATCTACCTCCAACTCCATTCACCTCCATTTCACTCTCATCTCCAGTCCACCTGTCCAGGCTGCATGGGAACGACATTTCTAATCTCATAGACCTGCCCATTGTATCATCATCATTAGCAATGCTCAGCTCAACGTTTTCTGCCAAGGTCTGAAGGCTAAATATACACTACTGTTCAAAAGTTTGGGGTCACCCAAATAATTTTGTGTTTTCTTGAAAAGTCATACTTATTCACCACCATACGTTGTGAAATGAATAGAAAATAGAGTCAAGACATTGACAAGGTTAGAAATAATGATTTGTATTTGAAATAAAAATTTTTTTACATCAAACTTTGCTTTCATCAAAGAATCCTCCATTTATAGCAATTACAGCATTGCAGACCTTTGGCATTCTACCTGTTAATTTGTTGAGGTAATCTGGAGAAATTGCATCCCATGCTTCCAGAAGCAGCTCCCACAAGTTGGATTGGTTGGATGGGCACTTCTTGCGTACCATACGGTCAAGCTGCTCCCACAACAGCTCAATGGGGTTCAGATCTGGTGACTGCGCTGGCCACTCCATTACAGATACAGTAGAATAACAGCTGCCTGGTTCAGCTATAAATAGTTATTGCACAATTTGGAGGTGTGTTTAGGGTCATTGCCCTGTTGTAGGATGAAATTGGCTCCAATCAAGCGCTGTCCACTGGGTATGGCATGGCATTGCAAAATGGAGTGATAGCCTTCCTTATTCAGAATCCCTTTTACCCTGTAAAAATCTCCCACCTTACCAGCACCAAAGCAACCCCAGACCATCACATTACCTCCACCATACTTAACAGATGGCGTCAGGCATTCTTCCAACATCTTTTCATTTGTTCTGCGTCTCACAAACATTCTTCTTTGTCATCCAAACACCTCAAACTTGGATTCATCCGTCCATAACACTTTTTTCCAGTCTTCCTCTGTCCAGTGTCTGTGTTCTTTTGCCCATCTTAATCTTTTTCTTTTATTGGCCAGTCTCAGATATGGCTTTTTCTTTGCCACTCTGCCCTGAAGCCCAGAATCCTGCAGCCGTCTCTTCACTGTAGATGTTGACACTGGGGTTTTGCGGGTACTATTTAATGAAGATGCCAGTTGGGGACCTGTGAGGCGTCTGTTTCTCAAACTAGAGACTCTAATGTACTTATCTTCTTGCTCAGTTGTGCAATGCGGCCTCCCAATTCTTTTTCTACTCTGGTTAGAGCCTGTTTGTGCTGTCCTCTGAAGGGAGTAGTTATTAGTTATTAGCAATTTATAGAGCGTATTTCTTTAAAGTTAAGACTAGTTTAAAGTTTTCTTCATTGAAAAGTACAGTACAGTGCTTTTCCTTCAAAAATACGGACATTTTAATGTGACCCCAAACTTTTGAACGGTAGTTTATTTATTCCTTGTGTTAATAAAAACTCTGATTACCTTCTTTTCTCCATGTGAGTCTCCCCAGGTTAAAGTAAATTAG